ATCAGATGTCACTTCAATTTACCGGTTTAAGCTAAATTTAAAAGTCCCTGATACACAAATCACTAAAGTCACTTATCTAAAACTTGGCAGTTTTACTTCCTTATCACATCTCCAAATTTCTTGTATATTTGTGCCAAAAAAATTTATAGAATCATTGAGTTAGAAAGAGCTTGTAAGGCCATGAAATCAAACCCCTTGCTCAGCGCAGGAGTCCAATACCTGTCGAGGGTGCCAGCCGAATTTCAGTGGGGAAATACCTAATTTATTTTCCAATGCACTGACTTTTGCAAATCAATTCAAACTCAGGACACAAATCAAATACGCTTGGACAAAACTATTCTGCACCAAATCAGGATAGATTCTGAAGCTCCAAAGTGGCCTTTAAATAAGCCCTAGTTTTTGCCCTGTCTTCTTTCTGCTTTACTAAAAAAGAATTCAAAGCATAAGTGTAGGACTCACACCCAATGAAGACCTTTCAATTGGACATTGTGCTCTTTTTTTCAGAGCAACTTGTTGTAGTTACATTTCCAATTCCACCCTCACAGTCCAGTCATTACCATTATAGTTACACCTAAAGACTATTGACTTTCTGGCTTCTCAGAGGTCCCTAAACTGTATTTACTTTTTTTCCAATCTGAATTTTTAGCCACTGGCTTCTGCTACAAAAATGTGCATGCCTATCATCTACCTCATGCCACCAAAAATCACAAGGCAGCAGCACAAGGCCCTGCATAAGCCACTTAAGCCAGCAGTTAAACCATATGAAAAGGACAGAAACAGAGTGATACTGGCAGTGGAAAGAAAAAAAATCACATGCCACCAATACAAAAGAGGTGGGGGTTGGGGAGAGATGATGAAACCAAAGGCTTGTTGTTGCTTAGTCGTTTAGTCGTGTCCGACTCTTTGTGACCCCATGGACCAGAGCACGCCAGGCCCTCCTGTCATCCACTGCCTTCCGGAGTTGGGTCAAATTCATGTTGGTAGCTTCAGTGACACTGTCCAACCATTTCATCCTCTGTCGTCCCCTTCTCCTCCTGCCTTCACACTTTTCCTAACATCAGCAAACATGGACTACCACAAGTACCACTTCCATGTGGGCCCATAAATTAATTCAAATTAACCTGAGAATTGCAAAGGTTCCAGTAGAAATCCGATGAATTCAGATTATGTAATTGTGTCTATTCCCAACAATTACTCCCAAATGTTTAGATATAGGCCTTTCTCTCTTTGAAGTGCAGTCTTTGCCTTGAAGTGGTTTCCAATCATGCAATGATGGGTCATCCATTTGCTTGCATAGATTCAGGGAGAGGCACTTTGTCAATCAAAGACCGGATTCTGACAACTGTGGTTTGCAGAAATACTTTGCTTTGCTATTATTTAACAATGGAATACAGGAGGGCCTGGCGTGCTCTGGTCCATAGGGTCACGAAGAGCCGGACACGACTAAATGGCTAAACATCAACAATTATTTAACAAACAGTTTTATGACCTCAAGTATGCCCTCTTCATCTCCTTTTCCTTTTTATTGTAAAGCATTTGGAAAAAATGAACTAATCAACACAAGTTACACCATCAGTCTTTTCCAGAAATTTTAGTTTATTATCATACATAGGCTTCGTTTTCTCCATTTGGAAAAGAAAGCAACAGAGATACATGGCACCTTTGCAACATTTATTATATAAGATAATGCAACATTTTGGAACTCCAGCCTCCAGGAAGTGTCATTCATCCCTTTTCCTCTTGCCTTCCACTGGCAGCTGAAAGCATACCTCTTTAGAGTCAGAGGCTACTAAGGTAAGGGCTGTTTTTAACATTTAAAACTTTTAAATAAAGTTTTTAAGTATTTGTATATTACAGTTTAAATTTATTTTATTTTAATTTTTGTTTACACAGCCTTGGGAGAGCCAGGGGAGAAAGGCTGGGGGGGGGATAAGGCTGGGGGGAGGAAATAAAATAATATAAGTATGTAAGTATTGGGACCAAATAGAGCAGGCAGCAACTGGTCCTTTCAGAGAAGTGTGCCTGCATACAAACTTGTTAGCTTCACTCTCAACTTTCTCTCACTAAATTCAGACTGTAAGCTCCCAAATTCCAAATACCCATATTGGGGTGAAACCTCTATTTGGCCAATATCAAAGGTACACAAAAGAATGCAAGCTTCCAAGAATACTGACCACTTCATCACACCAGATGTTACAAAAGGTAAACAAGCTTGATTGTGATTCCTTTTAGTCTGCATGGTGTCTTGAGAGGTGATGAAGGAGGAAGACTAAGCAAACAATTCAATGAGGCTCATCAGGTGACACAAGGGTGATTTTCACTCAGCGCAGTGTAGACTTCCTGGGGAACTGGAAAGTTTCAAAAGTTTGGTCATCTGACTTAGACAATCCAAGTCCCCACTGTAAACCCAGAGCTGTTTCCACCCTGTTTGAGCTGCTGGAAAAACAGATATGAAACATTATTGAGGCTGAGGATAATTTTAAATGCTGGATTAGGTAAGAAGGTAAGTAGCACCCAATTAGGCAATGTTACTTATTGCACTAGAGAGAAGGCACCCTCTACCAGTAGCACAAACCACCACCCTTGCACATCCTATTGAGTTGAACAGCTAAATTCAATGTCCGCAAAATCCTTAAAAAGCAAAAAGTAGCTACGCTGGCCAAGCAACAAATTCAATTCCTCCATCAAGCCTTACATCATGTCATCCTCTAGATTCCCAGACCCAAGAAATTGATTGATTGATTGATTGATTGATTGATTGATTGATTGATTTGTAATGCTTATTTACCACCCTAGAGCCAAGCTCTTCTGGAATGTTTCCACTAAAAAAAGAGAGAGAAAACAATGAACTTTTAAAAGTCTAAAACAGAATAAAACGCACAACAAGAGCTTCAAGTGCCATTTGTGGTCAGAAAACAGATGATCAAAATTTGAGAAATAATTTTATGTTGACCATTTGTGTTATTTGCATTTGCAGTGTGGCAGCTCTCAGACTGGGGATGTGGTGGCGCTGCGGGTTAAACCGCAGAAGCCTCTGTGCTGCAAGGTCAGAAGTCCAGCAGTCGTAAGATCGAATCCACGTGATGGAGTGAGCTACCGTCGCTTGTCCGAGCTCCTGCCAACCTAGCAGTTCGAAAGCATGTAAAAAAAATGCAAGTAGATAAATAGGTACCACCATGGGGGGAAGGTAACAGCGTTCCATGTCTAGTCATGCTGGCCACGTGACCATGGAAACTGGACATACGCTGGCTCTATGGCTTGGAAACAGGGATGAGCACTGCGCCCTTGAGTCGGACATGACTGGCCTAAATGTCCAGGGGAAGCTTTATCTTTATCTAGCTCTCAGACTGCGGCACACCCTAGAGTCAGACATGACTGGATTAAATGACCAGGGGAACCTTTACCTAGCTCTCAAACTGTGGCACGTTCTCCCTTGGGAGACATTGTTGGCTCCCTCTCTTCTGTCCTTCTGCCAACTGCTGAAGACCCACCTTTTCAGGCAGGTTTTTTACTTCAATATGTGACTTTTAAATTGAGTCCCTGGGTGCTGGTTTTTAGCTTTTCAACTGGTGTTGGTTTTTAAAGCTAATGTTTTTAATTACTTAAAATATTTTAATTATGGTGGTAGTTTAATTTGTTTTTCAACGTGATTTATTGTGTTTTAAATTTTCCTTGTTTTAACTTTGTGAGCCACCTCGAGTCCTCCTATGGGGAGAAAGGCGGCTGATAAATGAGACTAAGTAAAATAAAATAAACATTAAACAGCAGGAGATTGTATAAGTATGAAGTATTTAAAAGCCTTTTAGGACTCAAAAGCATGCAAAAATTAAAAACAAAAACATCATCATCAAGGAGCATGATGATATTCCTTTTGATCAAGTCTCTGCCCGTTCATTCACAATACTACTCAAGAAAGAATTTCCATTTCAGCCGTCACTAATGCACTATAGAGAAGAGAACATTCTTAGAATGCTAGCTGGAAAAGGGAATGTGGGATAGACCTGAGTGATTCAACATACATTCCTTTGAGGCTGAGAAAGCAAACTTTGAAGACTTCCAAAGATGGATTGCCTTCTGCCTGAAACCTCCTGAGTCAACGGACAAAAAGCAGGATGCTGGAGCCTAAAGATTGCTATCCCAACATGGCTGAAAATAGTAACTCAGGGAGGAAACCTTAATTTGTTAATTGCATTTAAGTTTATGGGCTAAGGGTCATGCTGGTGTTACTCTGGAAAGATTAAGGGTTCCCTGCCCCTTTGGAATGTGAGGAATGAAACTGATACAAACAGTGTAATAGTTTGCATGTCCACCCAAGAAATAAACTTTATAAAGAATAAGTATTGCTGAGAACTTTTGTGTTTTTACAGAACAGCAGCTGAAATCTTGGGAGTGAAAAGATGTAAAGTTATGTACTGTACATGACTTGTCCTGTTTGTCTTTTACTTTTCTCTCATTTATCAAAAATAACTATCAACCTTTGTTCTGTCCTAAAACAACATTTTGAAATGATTGTTTTGGCTTGAAAACTCATTTAAATCAAAGTTCTTTTACATCATTCTTAGATTCATGATTAGAGGGGTGATTTACAACAAAATTCAACAATGCAGTGAAAATGCTATTTATGAGCAGACATGGAAAATTAACTTTGCAAATCTTTCTCCAGTCTTTAGCCACTGTCAGTATCCATTAAAAGTTCCACATGCACAGTGTACATGTACTGTACGCTGGGCCATTATAACAGGGGGGGGGGGGGTTCCGTACATCGTCACCAGTCAGTGGGCAATACAGTGACAGCCTCGAGATAGGAAAACTTACTTTTTTGGACCCCAACTCCGCAAGTCCCTGGATTCTGGGCTTTGTAGTCAGTCCAAAGGATAACTTTCCCAGGCTCTTCCCCTTTCCTCCATGTCGCCACCACAACCTTTGAGTTGCAATGATGGCAAAGAAGAAGGTGTATCTCACCAGCAAAACTCGGGGTGAAGTTTTTTCCTCTTTACAAGAGTACCTGCAACGAGCAGGCAAGTCTCCACCTGGCCGTTCCTGCCGTCAGCTCCGACGCCGGCTCCGGCTACATCCGCACGGTCTTGGGGCAGCAGAAGTTGAACGAGCTGGACAGCTCCAGCTTGGCTTTGCCCGCTCGGCTGTCGGGCGGCCGAGGGCAGGAGCAGAAATCGCTTCGCATCCAGAGGCAGGTCCAGCAGACGCTGGCCAGGAAAAGCAAAGGCTCCTCGGTCCACGGTGAGTGAGAGAGATCTCGGTGGGTGGGTGTGTTCCGCCTCCTTCAAACTTTCGGGTTAACTTCCCTCTGGTGCTTTCCTGCAGATCCCCCGCTTCCAATAAACAAAACCAAAGGACTGGGAGGGGGAGAGAAATGAAATAAAGCTTTCACGTCGACTTTACTCCCATCCTACCTGCAGAGCACCAAATAATAATAATAATAAATTAAAACCCTTAAAATTCCTCTTTTGCCTCGCCCCACTTTGAAGGCTGGGGGAAAGACCTGATCCATTCAGGGTTAAAATCATGAAAATCCCCTTCTTAGCCCTAGATCAGAAAGGTGGGGGGGGGGAGTTAATACTCTCCCGGTGAAGTCCGTGCAGCTTTAAAAGTGTGTCATCTCAGGAGCGTTACGCCTGGGTTCCTTTACTGTTACTAGCACAATTTTTACTCAGGAAATCCCGCTTCTGGTTGTTCGGAAGTTATTGGCCTTTCCACACCCAGACAACTGGGGCTGAGGCATTAAGATAGGGTAAAAAGGTCTGTAGTGCAATTCATAGGGTAGGATGGTGCTTATTCCCTAGTAAAGGGTAAAAAAGGCACATAAAAAGGGCCAGGTGCTCCATTCGTAAAAAGAAAGTCTGAAGTTGGGCAGTGCCTTTATTAGGTCTTTCAAACGTTATAGAGAAGATAGGCCTTTGAGGGGGCCCTTGCCCTCAAGAAAAAGTGGTCTAAAACTAGAGGTTGAGGTAAATAATTCAAAAACTTGGCCCAGAGTGATGCCCTTTTGGGCTGGTGAAGACAGACTGCTAACAAAGCAAAATGGAGTTTCAAATTACACCTGAGATAGAGGTGAAGGTGACAAAGGTAACGATTTACATTTCCTGCTGTAGACAAAAGGCTGGCTTGCCCTCCCCTCCAGGTCTGTAATTTCCCTAAAATGAGGCACACAAGCTGCTTTTTAGGATTGGCAGAGGGCAATGCAAAGGCTACAGTTTGTACCTTAAAAAAGGAGAATACATTTTGGCATTACACCTTTATAGAGTTGCCTTGAGTAGGAAGTGACTGGATAACACATGAAGTGACTGGATAACACATGACAGGTGTTTTCGAGGTCAGCAGGTCTTTCCACTGACTGCTTTTTTTCTATTCCCCCCCCTCCATTTTCATTTCCTTCTTTACATTTCCAGCTATTTGCTTTCAGCTTCCTCTCTTTTCTACCCATGTTTTGCCTCTTTTCTACCCTGTTTTCTACCCATTTTCCTTTCTTCTAAATTTTTTTGGCTTGCAGGCGTCTCTCTTTGCAAACATGTTGAAGCAGAAGGGTGGGGGAGAACATGTTTTTCTTTCATTTTCCTGAGAAGATGATATTCAGGCTTCATTTTAGGTCAATGAGAGTATTTCTTTGCATCTAGTGGCGGCTTTCTCAAACTCATGAGAGACCCAGAGTTTCATATATATGCAAATCAGAGATAGTATTACGATGCACATGCGATTATAATTTTACATGGTGTGGCAGATTTTATGGCTTCTCGGCTTGCTCATTTGTTTGATCTCTTATGGGGGAAAAGTGATACTTGCTCTGTACCAACTTTTGCGACTTTAGCTTACTGTAAAGTGAATACAGAAGCACATCACCCAAAGTGCACATGTGAAATACCCCACTTACTCGAAGCGGTAGAGACCAAGAGGAGCAAGCAAATGCTATCTATAGATCTCCAAATGGCAGCAGTACAGTACAGAGTTTAATTTGAAGTGCCAGAGTTACGTTTTTTAAATGTTAACAATAAAAAGAATCTGGAGATCAGTCAGATATATTAAAAAGCAGGCTCTGTAATTATGATGCACTTAATAATACAGTTCTGAGAACCAGCTTATTTGCATTCAATAAAACCTCTTACGTTATTTTGCCACTTCAATTATAATAAAGAAAATATGTCACTCCAGATCTTAACAAAGTTATTAACGCCATTCACAATTTGCATTCAGATATAGTTATTTTTCTCCACAAGTCTGTTCTGTGGTGTTCTGGCTCCATTAGAATATGAGTTTGTTTAGCTTTCCATACAGTCACCCAAAACCATGAATTGTGAGAAATGACTGTGTTGTCCCATCCTCCTTCCATGTGTTAACCTTCCTCACGTATCTATGAAGGAATGGCAATTATTTTTATGGTGGAGGTGACCTAGGACCTTTTGCAGCCTGAGGCACAGCAGCAAATGGGAAACACGTGAACCAGATATTCCCACAAAGCACTCTACCCACGAAGCCTTCAAGAATACACTCTACCTTTCTTTAAAAACATAATAACAAATTTAATAATGAACAATTTGCCACACTTTTTCAGTACCCAAAATAATTCACCCGAAGTAGCTACCTCACTCTGCCAACTTTTAATCCTATAACGCACAAATCAGACCCATGGGACTTGATTTTTACAAAGGCCTGCTCCCCACATGGTTGGGCCTGTTATGGTTGTGCACTTGGTAAATAATCATTATGAGTGTCTACTAGGGTAACTCCCTTTGGTCCTCTGCTGGCTGGCAGAGTCTGCTTTATTCAGGCAGGCTTTCGGAAACCGACCAGCAGCTGACAAAGGAGCTTTTAATGTGTGAGTGTTGTATGCTTTTAATAATGGGTTTTAACATTTTAACTGTTTGCCTGTTATTGTGAGCAGCCTTGAGTCCCAATTTTGGAAAAAGAAAAAAGTCAAGGGATGAATCTGCAGTATCTTTATATTAATTAATTAATTAATCAATCAATTAATTAATTAATTAATTAATTCATTCATTCATTCATTCATTCATTCATTCATTCATTCATTCAGTTTATATTCCACCTATCTAGCAAACTGCCATGCTGGGTAGTGTACAACAAATTAATCATACATATAATAATATACTCAATAAACTATCCCAGACATAAATCATAACCCAAAACAGGTGGCGAAACAAATTCTGGAACACACTACAATACTGCAACACTATGGTCATTCAACCACAATTAAAATGTAAACAGAAATAGAAACACATATACCTGTGGACTGTTAACTGTGGAGTTTCAACAAGTTGAAAAATACTGGGTTGAAAACAAAAGGGCAAACAAAACAAATGAAAAATAGAATTTCAAAAACTTTAAGTCCTTTCAATTAAACAGGTGAGTCTTTACAAAGTTTCTCCTTAACCTTTTGGGGTTGTTTGGTGTCCATTCATTATAGAATATAGGATTTTACCTCTAGATTGGCTGTCTTTTCATGTAGCTGGCTCTTCTAACAGCTCATTGTTTGATTCATCACAATACCTTTCATTGTATTTATTGCTTCCCCTCAAGGCATCTTCCCTAAATGGGCCTGCTTTTCTCCCTCCTGTTGATTACCTACACATCTGTTGCTGTGCTGTAGACATTTCCCTAAATTGGATGTGTGTTGTTTAGATTTGAGGCACAGTGCATCCTGCCGATGTAAAGGGTGCAAGGATGTTGACTTGATGGTTTTTGAGTGTTCTGGGATTCTAGTGTTTTGTGGCCTTATCCTGGATTGCTTAAGTTGTCTTGTGGTGGTGAAATGATTTTTTGCAGTGGTGTAGGGGTAAATTTGAAAGTGTGACTATTTATCATAACCAGCCAAATAAGGAAAGTCCAGAAATACAGGCAGGTAAATGGATCCACATCAACAAAAGGTCTTTTATCAAGTTGATTGCCCATTCAAGATCACAACATACTCAGATACTTTGTATTACAACAGGGATAGCCTGGAACAATCCATTTGCTCATGGGAAAAAATCAATGTCTCAGGTACTGTGAGGATTGCAGCTATACTCAGAGGGAACCGGGAAGTCTGGGAGGCAGTGGCACATGATGTCATCATCTCTGCTAATGAGAAAGTCCTGGGATTTTGATCCTGTATGGCCTGGTTATTTTGCTAGAGAGCAGTACACTCTGTCATTTGTGCCCTTTCAACTGTTCTGAATAGAAAGTTTAGCTCTTTTATGCCTATTGTAAACCCTGAAACTGGAGTGGTGACATTCAGGTTGAGATCCTCTCTCAGGTATAAATAAAAGGATGTGACCTTGTACCATTCATTCGCAATCTAATTACACAATAATATTTTTTCCTAAGGATGAAACTGTAGGCATAGTCTGTAGTCTGCTGAATAGGCTGTATCAGAACCTGAAAATACTTCAGGCGTCTTCTCTTTTTTTCCTTTTTCTGGACTACATATCCCAGTATCCTCCTAGCCAATATGACCTCTGGGAATGGTAGTCCAAGGACATAACTTTTCTACCTAGCTCTAATATCCCACCTCTGCAGTTCTTACACAATCTTGTAACACGTTTGGGCATTTGAATGGGAAAGTGTTTTAAATTAGGAAAGGGCAATTTGTCAGTTTACAGGTGTTGTTGGATTTAAAATTCCATGAGCCCCAGTCCTGGCAAGGCATGGTGGGAATGGTGTCCCCAGCAATATCTGGAGACGCACGTTTCCCGGACAAATCCTGTGCTTTGACGAACGGCTATACAGGCCGTTTTCTCTGTACAACTGTACAAAGACAATCCATTCCTCGTCTGCGAGGTAAAATTTATTACTTAAAAATATATATCTAGAGAGTTTTTCAAGTTTCGAACCTCCATCCTGAAACTTTACGTTAACTTCAGATCATGAAGCCTCAAAATCTGGCTTGGATGATTTGTAGATCTTTTCTGTCCTCATCCTTTCCCCTCCCCCACCTCTGCAGTGCCTGAAGAAAGTCTTGCAAGTCTTGAAAGCTTGCCTGGTGTTCACATTTTAGTGGTCCAAAAAAGACATTACACCACCTTGGTTTTGGGCAAAAGAAAAAAAACCTGTCGTACTACTAAACTGGTGAAGAACTTGAAAAAGTTAATTTTTTCAGATTGCAACACTTAAGAGATTGTGACTTCTACTGGTGAGATACAAAGTATGGTGTAGTGGATAGAGTAACAGACTAGGACTCAGGTGGCCTGGGTTCAAATCCTTGCTCAGCTATGGAAATTCACTAGGGGCGT